GGTTTCCGTGCTGCCTGCGTGGTTAATGAAAATTGGAGTAGTTAATGATGGTTAGTGATTCTGCAGTTGTGGATTTAACATCAATATGAACTATAGTTAGCTGCTGCAAATATCTAGTACTAGTTAACTAATTACTAGGACTTTGGACCTGAAATACCACATAACACAGGGATATATAACATCATCCATGTGTAACTCACTGGTCACAAGAGGAAGCAGTGTACAATACCTTGCGAACCACTACTCTGAATGATGTATGATGTTCATAATGTACTCCCTCCGGTCCTTTTTACTCTGCATATTAGGTTTGACCGAAGTCAATCTCATCCAACTTTGACCAAGTTTATACAAAAAATTATAGACATTCACATAACAACACCAATATCATTAGATTCTTCTTGGAATGTATTTTCATATTATATTTATTACATATTATAGATGCTAATAATTTCTAATATAAATTTGGTCAAACTTAGCAAAATTTGATTTTCGGCAAATCCAATGTGCAGAGTAAAAAGGACCGGAGGGAGTATTAACATTAAGCTTGTCAGGTTATTAGAACGAGGCATGGTTTTTCAGCAGTTCCTTTTATGCACCGGTTGAGGTCACTGGTTGAATACGCTTGTGCAATCCTATTCCAGTTCAAATAGAAAGCTAAACATATCATAGATGATGTATTTCCATTCTTTCAGTTTTGTACTTTTAGGCATTTTTAGATGGCGGATTATGCCAGCCCCCACATAATACTCGTGCAGCAATGTTCCTTTCAAAAGTTTGCACAAACCATAGCTGACGAATTGGGTAGACTGAAAGCTTAATGATGTAAATATTCATCCATCATATAACATTAAATTGTATTGTATGAGAACACACTTGTTGTCACACTGGTGGGAATAAATGAACAGAAATAACTCTTGTTCTCGATGATGGTGAGTCATTTTGAAATGGTGATACTTTTGATTGAATATTATTTCTGCATTTTTTACACCATTTACCTATTATCGCTGAAATTGAAGCATCATACTGCGGATTAACCGGTTGACTAGAATAGCTTTAAAACAACCTACGTTTCTTATGTGATATCGCAGGAAGCTAGTTTTGATATAAAGCTGCCTAGAAGAAGCTTGCTTGTTCAGTTTACATGTAATAAATGTGACGCAAGGACAAAACGTTTGATAAACAGGGTGGCCTATGAAAGAGGAACAGTTTTTCTTCAGGTAAATTGTTCAGTGTGTTTATATTTACTTAATTTGTACAGCCAGCAGCTTTGCTTATATTAGTACGGACCTTATCTGCCTACCACTCTCTTTTTTAATATTAAAACAAGACCATGTCTATGCTCATTTATTTTCTGAGATATGCTGCTCATTATTTTCTAACATGCACTGCACACACAGTGCGCAGGGTGCCAAGTGTATCACAAGTTTGTTGACAATCTTGGTCTAATTGTCGAGTATGACCTACGAGAAGAAAATGGGGTGAACACTTGTACTGAAGACTGATTTGGAATGTGTTATTAGAAGCCAGACATGCTAAGTTTCCTTTAAAATCATTAGGTTTGAGTCTTGACAAAATTGATTATTTGAATCTTGTAGACTGCTTATATTGAACAGTATTTCTGCATTGAAATAGCTACCAATACTCATTTCATAACTGGGTTAATATGCATTCAAATGGTATAACTGTTCACAATACCAGATTATCTTATTGTTACCAAAATTGATCTCTTATTATAGCAAAATGATACATTGTTGCCCGAAGTTCCTGGCACTAATTGTACGATATTCGCACTGTATACACATCATTCTTTGCTCCCATCTTGCTGATCTTGATTGTCTGGAACATCACTTTTTGTCATCATCTCTTTCTCTTGTTCTTCCTCCTTTGCTACCTGGTCCACATTTTCCTGTTTGCCAGCGCCATCTTTCTTTCTCTTGAGGAACTGGATAAGACCTTCAAGTGCGACGTCCGTCTCTTCATTCCTCATGAGCACCTCTGCGACCTCTGCTGGAGTCACCATGACCTCCTTGATCAATTCTTCGATCTCCGGGTATGTGGCATGGTGATCTATAGAGTGGTAGTTGGAGGCCAAGATTCGAAACGACTCTGGGCAGCAGTACCCCATGTGAATGTGCATGTCCATCCTGCCAGGGCGCAGAAGCGCAGGATCGAGCCTTTCTTTGTAATTTGTTGTGAAGATAATTATCCTCTCCTCCCCACTTGTTGACCAAAGCCCATCAACGAAGTTGAGTAGCCCGGATAGTGTCACCTGTTGGAGATAGCACATAGGACATCAGAATGGAAAGAAAACTAATAGGAACTCAGCAATGCAAGGGAAGTATCATTCCAAGTGTCTATCTAACCTTGTCCTCTGAAGGGTTGGATTTGGTGCCCTCCTGACCTTCCTCCCGCTGTTGCAGCTCGACAGTGCAGTCGATGTCCTCAATGACAAGAATTGACCGGTTGGTCATCCCGATGAGCAACCTCCGAAGTGTTGAGTTCCAGTTGACCTCAGTGAGCTCAAGATCATATACATCAAATTTGAGGTAATTGGCCATTGCTGCAATCATGCTTGACTTGCCAGTCCCAGGTGGGCCATACAGCAGGTACCCTCGTTTCCACGCCTTGCCGATCTTCTTGTAGTATTCCTTTCTCTTGACAAACCTCTCGAGATCATCCATGACTGACTGCTTGAGCTTGTGATCCATGGCAAGCGTGCTGAAGGTTGATGGGTGGTGGAGATCAATGGCAAACCATGACTCACCTTCGTTCATGTAGATCTTGAGCGTCCTGTTCTGCTCTTTGATTTTCTTGGCCACGGCGAGGATGTGAGGGAGGTAGGAGGTAAGTGCTTTGTCCTTGTGCTTCCTGTGGAAGCTCATCTCGAAGGACCGGACCTCAAGCTTGAAATTGCCGCTGCCGCCACGGCCGTTGGCGTTGCTGCTGCTGGCGCTGGAGTTGTCCCGGCAGACAAGGCGCCACTTGAACTCGGTGCCCTCATGGACATCGGCCATCTCTTCGCCCTCCTCCATGCTGAACATCATGCTCTTGGTCTCGTCGACGCGGCTGACCCGGAGGCGCTGCATGTCGGTGTTGATCCGCGTCGCAAGGTACGCCCGGGCGGCGTCGTAGAGCTGGTTGTTGGCCCACCCCTCGGTCTCCTCTATGATGATGGTGTGCTGGGACGACATGTGCGAGCGAAGGTAGCCCATGCCGGAGAAGAGCAGGTCACGCACCTCGTACGGCACCAGCTCGTTGACGACGCCCCGCACCAGCATCGCGGACGCCGCGAGGGAGGCCGCCGTGGTGACGGCCTTCTTGTACGACTCCATGGCCTTGTCGTAGGAGGCCATGGCCGGCGGCGGGCTAGGGGCAAAGTCACTCCTCTGCTTTCGCCTCTCACTTTCCTTCAAGACCAAGTAGTGCTGGGAGATTTGAACCTTCCAAGCAGTGATGGTGCTGGTCGGTGTTGAATGGGGGCGTTTAGCTGGCGCGCGGTTTTATAGCTGGCTTGGTTTGCGTGGAAGTGGTTGGATGACGGGTGAGTCAGTCAAGCTAAATAATACTGTAGTATTGGTCTGAGTGGTGCGTTGTCCAGAAAGGAGGCCTTGGCCAAAGTAGAAAAATGGCATCACACTACTTGGTGGGTTTTTTCCTAATGGCACGGCCATGTTCCTTGGGTGGCCGTGCAAAACAAACGCTAGAAATGGCCTCAAAGCCGAACCGACTACCTGCTGGACCCCCACTTTGCGTTTGAGGAGATGGTTGTCTCTTCATGCCTGCTGTTGAGTAGGAGTACTAGTACTAGTATTCCTGTTGATACTAGAATGCGTTGTCGACAAACCAATGATGTAGTATGTGCTTGAGAATCATGAGCATATTTGTTTCCAGGGCCCACGGTAGTGAAAGCACATGCTTTTGTTTTGGTGCTGTCAGGCGCTGTAAAAGAATGCATACACAAACGGGTGAATTTCCTGTTCGTATTTGCTTTTTATTACTGGGCGCTCTGTTCAAATTTGTTGAAGTTGCACCACACGAGGAACACGTATGCACGATTAACATGCTGCCTGACAGGCACAGATGGGATGGTTGCGGGGAAACCCTTGCAAATGCACACGCACAATGACGTTTTTTGATGCTTTTTTGGAGCCTTGTGCAGGGTAAAGCAAGTTTACAACTGTCTGCATAGACTTGACGGCCAAGTTTGCGTGATGAATAGTCTGCCACTTGTAGCTGTCGGCAGTTGGCGGCGAGTTTCCATAGGAATTTTCTGCAGCTCTCACAACCGTCTATACTACGTGTTTCCTTTTGGTCTCGTGTCCCCGTCACGTTTCCATGCCCGGCGTATGCGAGAGTCCGGCTGCTGCTGACTAACAACGGTTGACGCCCGAGTAGCACTGATTTAGGTATCGTGCAGGGGAAGGAAGGGATTTTTTTTCATTTCATTTTCGTGTCTGTTGCCACCCTCAAAAAAGAAAAAGGAAAGGAAGAAAGAGCGTGTGTTGCCACTTGCCAAAGTTTCCCTCCATTGGGGGATGCAAGTAGAGGGATGCATTTGCATTGGGTCACCATGACATGACAGTCTGAAGGGGTAGCTCATAAACTATGAATCACTTTTTACACAAATATTGTGATCTTTGGAAGCGAATGAAGTAGGCTGGGCCAGTGGATCGGCCGCATCCCTACGCACTCCATTCTGCAAATCTGCATCACAAAATTCTCTTTTTTTCCAACATAATAAATCTACGCGTACAGGAGTCATAATATGGCTATAAAAAAAACTTTCAGTAATAATATGGTTATAAGTGTGAGGAAGGATGGATGGGGTTGCTGGTCAGCGTAAAAAGCACTTTGATCGCGTGCATCTAACTTTTTGATTAAACAGGAGGGACCAGGGGTACTACTTTTGGTCGAGTCGAGTAGGCCGTGTAGAACGATGAGTCATGAGACTTGACGTGTCCTCATTGCCGTGGTTTGGTTGGGTTGGGAGAGGAAAGCGAGAGATCGGGCGGGGAGCGAAAACATCAGTTCAGTTAGGCTAACTCTGCCGTGCGACTTTATTCTGTCTCGTCCCGTCCGTTTGAGGTAAAATGGACAAACGAGACGGCTCAGTGCGCGACGGCGCGGAACCATCTTGTCTGTTTTGTCCCCGGGCCGATCCATTTCAAGCGCAAACTTGCGCCGGCTTTGGATCGCGACGGACACCAAACGAACGCGCGCCTCGTCCGCGCCGGGGCCGCGTGGCAAGCGGCCACCTACCTCCCATCCGCCCACATCAATGCGCATGAACGGGTGGCCCCACTTGTCATCCGCACATCGAAAGGTTGCCATCCTTCTTTAAGTGGGAAGCGTGGACGGGTCGTCGTCCACACTGCCCCACGCTACCCCACGGCCTCCTCGAAACTCGACAGCACCGAACCTAAACCCTAGCCCAAAACTCGTCGGCCGGCCGCTCGCAGTCATGGGCCTCTGGAACTATGGCCGCAAAGGCAAGCACGACCGCGAGGCTGGTTCCTCGTCGGGACGCCGCCGCGGCTCGGTGAAGAAGGAGGAGCCCGCATCACCATCGCCACCACATCGGGCCCCCGCGCCGCCTGCGTTCTCCGTCGCGCCCACAGTCGTCGGCGAGCGCGACCGACACTACATCGAGGCGGCCGTCTGCCGCCGGTATTGGGATACGAGGACGCCGCTGCCCCGGAGCGACGTCCACCTCCCCAATAACTGGCACCTGTCGGCCGATCGCGTGCGGATCCCGCCCGTCCCGCAGAGCGACCGTGCGCGCCGCCAGGAGATCCAGCGCCACCGCCGCCTCCTCTCGGACGACCTCTACTACGACGAGAGGTACGCCCGCGACTCGCCATTGTGGGACACTTGGCTCCGCGATGAGCACGACGTGCGGCGGGCGTCGTTCTTCGCCGGCACGTCGACGGGGCGTCGGCGGCCACGTGAGCCCCGAGCGGCTCCCCAGGCGCGCGGGCACGCTGTCGCCATCTCCATCGCCACCCCCACCTCCTCGCATGACGGCAGAGGAGGAGGCCCGGCTCATGGCGCGTGTGCTGAAGGACTCCAAGCACACGCACGACGAGCGTCAATGGGCGGACCTCGAGGAGACGATGGCCCTCTCCGCGGCCGGCGACGTCGCCATCCCCGAGCTGGAGATGGCGCCAAAGGAGAAGGTGGTGGAGGAGCCGCCGGTGACCGCGTTCCACCCTGACTTGGTGGGCCAGGGGTGGAGCTGGTCGTGCTTCGCTGAGCAGATGGCGGCCGCCCTGGGGGCCGTGAACTGGTGCCCCACGCCGTCGCGGTCGCCGGAGCGGGAGGCCTCGCCTCGGGAGGAGGTGGTGCAGGCACTGACCACCTTCCAGCCCGCCGCCCCCGTGCACCACGGACCGCCGGCCCACCTGTGGACGTCGCGGGACTACGTTGACATCGTCAGCGACGACGACGACACCTGCGGCCAGTGAAGACAGCGACGGCCACGGCATCGACGGGCGCGGCAGGA